TAATTTATAGACTACATGAAAGAACTTGCTTACGTGTTATTTTAAAACAAAATCTGTACATTTTTTTTTTGCTTTTCTGCTTTCAGGTGGATCGTATGTCATTTCCATGTGGCTGCACAAAAGAAGGTTGCAGCAATTCAACTGGAAGAGTGGAGTTCAATCCCATTCGCGTCCGAACGCATTTCTTGCACACTATAATGAAACTCGAACTGGAGAAGAGTCGTGAGCAGCAGCAGCCGTCCCCAACCAACGGGTACCACGGCGAAGCAAGCGACCTGGGAAGTGGAAACCCTTTTGCTCAATCACAGCACAGGCTGGAGTACTCTCTGTCAGATGCGGTTCCACAGGCGGCCAGCATGCACCTTCAAGCTGCAGACGACATGGAGGAGACACTAGATGATGAAGACGAGGAAGAAGATGAAGAGGACGAGGAGGAGGAAGAGGAAAACGACGAAGATGAGGACGATGAGGAGGACAGTAGCAGTGTTTGCAGCGGGCTGTCTGATTCCAGCACACAAAGCTTGGCTAACAGCGACTCTGAGGACGAGGAGGGGGACGACGATGATGAAGAGAAGTCTGAGAATTTTGAAGACGACATGACGACACCGTCGGTTTCTCATACCGAAGTTGTGCCCTTATCCTCTGTGCTGTGTTACAGTGATGGCTCTGTGGGACATGACAACCACATTAATGGGAACACTTATTTAATGAACTCCTCTCCGGCTGAGTACTATCAGCTGGGGGGCACGAGCGCCATCTCCAACGGCCAAACCAGCCAGCCTAGTGAACCTTATGGGGAAAACTTGGCATTCCAAGATCCAGTTAGTACGACCAACGGGAACGTGGCCCAGAGACCTTTCAGCGTCACTGCTGAGCAGTACACAGACTACTCTAATCATGCTGAAGAACAATACGCAGTCAATCACCATTTTACTCTGAGCGGTGGTGCCCCTACCACCCCGCTGAGCTGTTATACACCTGACCCGAAGAATAAAGTTTTGTCCAAAGCGGCGTTTGAGGACCAGGCAGAAAACGAGAACCAGGCTCCATTTCAAAACTACCTGAACAATAACAATCAGAGTTCCTACAGCAGTCACAGCTCATGTATGACAACTGAGCAGCCACCACAAGAGTCAAGTCTCAACGGACATTCTGACCTGACCTTACTAGCAAACAACACTAAGAACCTGCCTTTACCAGACCACTGCCCTGAGGTCACAGCCATTTAGTGTGCCTCGCCTTTTTAAGTATTCTTTAAGTAGTATTACGTCTTCAAGAGGAACATGATCATGGCCTTTTTGGATTATCTGACCTTAAATTTCAAAGCAATTCACTGCGCCGTAATGCATTTTCAGCTGTAACTATAAAGCCACAAGTTCATTATGTAAAAGGCTTTGAGGTGCTTTTCGCTGTCTCCAGTACATTGTGTGCTTAACTGCAAAATCGAACGCATCAAAAAAAACATCAAAGCATAATTTATGTCACGCTGTGCAATGTATCCTGTAATTTCAGATGTAAAGTTCTAGTTTTAAGCAGATATTGTACTGTAGATGGAACTTTTCTATGTCTGCTATATGTGTCAAATGTGCAAAAAAAAAGGCTTATTGTCAATTTATTTATTGTTTTTGAAGTATGTGTATACTTATTGTAAATGTTTTGATAACAATACGCATGCAGTTTTCGGAATCTCAGTGATGTTTGGGAAAAAATGCCATTGTTTTATATTTAAAAAAAAAAAAAGTGTTGTATACATAATGTACATTTTTCTTCTTGTTTTCGTCACAATTATATGCTTTTCTATGGTTTTGGAAAGCATGAAAAAGCCTGAAAACTTATTTGTATGTTTGGAATATGATATCAATGGAAATGTCAAAATCAATTCACAGCCTTGTTGGGGCTGTGTTGGGGTCCAGTGGCATGCAGTTGGTTTGAAATGACTTCAGTTTTCTCCCCGCTGTTTACTCTTAGAATAACACAATTAGCATGTGTCACTATAAAAGAAGATTTTTAATGTGAAGACTTTTTTTTTTTAAAATACAGGGATATTAATGAAGTCATACTTTGACATATGTCCAAAAACTATGAAATATTTATCAGTAAAATAGAATTAATTTGAACAGTAACTGGTCTAGTGGACAAAATATGTCCTCTAGAAATGTGCCACTAATGCTTATGGGATTTCAACATTATACTGTCTAACAACTTAGATGTTTATTTACGTAAATCCCATAAAGATTTTAATTTTTGTTTTGTACGACTAATGGTTTAAAAAGATTTTCTCTTCTACAGAAAATCCTTAGTAAAATCAGCCGATGGGGCATTTCATCACTTTAACAGTGCTTTATATTTGTATTTTAAGCATTGTTTGGTTAACAATATACAGTTATTAAAACTATAAGGGGTAAACATGTTCAAGGTTGACAATCAAAACTTATTTTCAAATAGTACACAGTAGGGCTCCTGGGGTCCTGTAAGCCATCAAAAATGACAACCAGATACGGAAAGAATATTTACCAGAAATGTATAAATAACCTTTAAAATCACAGACAAGATGGAAATTGAAGTGACTGCTCAACAAGTGGAGGACTGCAATACTTCAGTAAACAGCGCTGCTGTAATGCTGGTGTTACCTTGAGCTCCCTGCTCCTGCATGAATACTGATATTTGTCCCACTTCCAAGCTGCAAATATCCGCAACATCACTATAATCAGAAGACTCGGCGCAAGAGTTTGGGTGGTTTTGTGCGACACTCGAGTAGCTGGGACCTGTCACGCCACGTGCCACGAAGGAAGTATACGGACTGCTTTCAGGCAATCGGTGGCATCGGCAAAGCCAATAGTTCTGATTAACTGTGCCAAAGCATACAGTGTGAGAAGGCTAATATGATGACATCCATGTGGGAATCCTGTGTTTGGTTTTATGTTCCAGTATTTATTACGAATGATATAATGAAATGTGTATTTATTGTGGTTTATTAAAAGTCTGTATTGAGTAAATTGCTTCTCTATCTTAAAAAAAAGTCTTCTGTTTCATGCTGGTTGTGAGTTGTAAAACATCATGTGCCTGATTTATTTAATTCGATTTCGTATTCTGTGAAATGCATATGTTTTGCACAAAATGGTAATTTTTTCGTTTTCATTGTGTTTGGTTTCAAACTGTAGATAGACAACTTCACTTGACATGATTTTGAAATAAATATTAAAATTTCTTTTGTATCTAAATCACTTTTGATATATTTTCATATTCAAGCACACAAAGTGAGGAGGTTACTGAAACAGGCAAAGTTGGATTTCTAGTTGCAAAGCGCCCTCTGCAGGCTAAATGAAAAACTGAAATGTAATAGCTCTAAGCGGGACCCAACTGAATTTATTGAGTTCAAAATATAATCATTAGACCAAGGCACTCTAACACAGAACATTTGTATCCATTCTTCCGCCACTAAAACAAATTTACATTAATCCACAGCCATCTAAACACTAGTGCCTGCACCAGAAATTCATTTGAGAACCCCTGCTGTAAAAATGGACTCCCTTGGGCACAATATTTTCCATTCACAGTTTCCTTAAAAAAAAAAAACCAAGCAAAAAAAAAAAAAAAACACTAAAAAAACAAAAACAAACTAAAAGGACCCCACCAAAGCACAAACTTAAATAATACAGGAAAACTGTGCTGCAGTTAAAAATAATATATCTCAGAAGACAGTATTCATTACTGCATACATGATGCTAAAAAACAAAAGCCTATGCATTAACTGATTGAAATACATGTTTAAGACCCAACTTACTTTCCCTCAAAAAAATATAAAAAAATAAAATATGGAAGACTAAAAAAAAATAAAATAAAAAAAATAATAATAATAACAACAATAATAACAACAATAAAAAAGATACTTTCAGAATCAACTGAAGTGTAAAAAGTTCAGTCCTGCTCTGAAGGCCCTTTTGATTAAAAAAAATAAAATGAACCAAAACACTGTGTTGACAGAAATCTGTTAACCCTAACCTCAATAAACCATCACCCACGCTGACAACACTGACACACATTCCTGTCCAAGGGGAAATAAAAAAACAGAAACAAACAAAAAATTATCCAAGGCACTGGACGGTACTGAATAGGAGATTTTTCAGTCCAAAAAACACATTTTTAAAAAGGCACAATGTACACCATTCTTGTCAGTGTCATGTTTTCACTGCTTGTCCTAAAATGTGTTTTTGACTTGTCATTTTGAATCTTTATGATCTACACAATACACAACTTTTTCTTCATTTTAGATTCATATATTTGTTGACAGATTAAAAGAAAAACCCTTTTCACCCTACATAGAGGGGATCCTTGGCTTAGTTATAGAGTGAGAGACTGTTTTCGGGCATGATTAGGGTCCACTTAAACTATTGGAGAAAAGAGTCACTGCAAAGCAATGTAAAATTGTCATGAGTAATCACCTCTTAGCCCACTAAGACAATATTTTTTAGTAGGTTTCTTCCATTTTAATTACTATTAAAATGATGTGAATCACATTTTGCCTTTGGTGTCCCTTTATCCAGTTCGACTTCTATAGGAGGCTTTGGATGTCTGTTCTGCACTGCATCACAAGATAAATCAGGGACTACCTCTAAGAAGAACAGAGTTCAATGCTGCGGAGACCTGATGAACCAATTGATCTTGTGCCCAAGACCTTAACCCTATAACACGTGTTATTTTTCCTTCCCATTGCTTTCCTATAGATAGTTGTCTCTGGAACTTACTAGTGTTAGCTTTAAATACCCAAAACTGTATGTTTTGGTTGTGAAGACTTGGAGTGGTGAAAACATGTCAAACACAAAAGAGGCACTTGTCAGCAAAGTGCATCTTCATTGTTCATATACTCAGCCCAAACTTTCCTTCAGCTCATCTCTGTATAAAAATAAATAAAAAAATCAGTGTGATAATTTATCTAAAAATAATTAAAAAAGAAAAAAAAATCAGCATGGAAACTGCATATAGTATTTTTTGTCCTAGCTTGTTCCTCACACAGATTAGCTTTTTCTAAAGTGGTATTTTGTGCAGTCAGACGAAGGACCAATGCTGGTATTTGTCAGAAGGGTTGCAAAGAGCCAGAGAAGGATGCTCGTGATGGGCACTCAGACACATGTTCCATCCAGGATTGTAGAATAACTGGTTCTATATGAAAATTTAAAAATGCATATATACACACACATATTACTTTAACAATAATATAATGCAGGGATTGTGAAATTAGTGTACACTAAAAAGACTAAACTCACATCCTTCAGTTCCCATTTTTGCTCTGCTCCCACCACTGTCTTTTTGCCTTTGTACTGGCAGTCCTCCAGCTTCACAGCCCCCTCCGCCCCGTGCAAACACAGCTCCTTCTGAATGTTGTGTCTAATCTCGTGATGTGTGGAGTACTCGAAATACTACGGCATAGAAACAAATAATGTATTTTAAGTAAACCTGCTCAACTTGTCAAAAAGAGATAAAACAGACGTGTTCCCACTGACCTGGTTTCCTCCTAGACCATGACATGGGTACATGATCAGCTGTTTCCCACCCTCATTGTTCTCCCCAGCATCCAGACATGAGTCCTTGCCCACATTTTTCACCTACAGAGAAGAGGAGGGAAGGGGAAAGCAATGAGAGGAAACAAAATGAAAAACTAACATCCAGTGCAAGCTGTTCAAACAACTTTAGCCTCTAGAGTGCTTTCAGTGGTGTTAAATTGGAACTGCTCAGTACCCTCTGGAGATCCTAAGTGGAAACCCACAGTGGCTAGACAGTGTGCTGTGAGGTTTGAAAAGGAGAGCTGGTGGTCTGGTGTGTGATCTTACTGAGCCAAAGCGAAGTGGGTTGAGATCAGGCATGAAGACTTCTGGATAAACGTTCTGCAAATACCAGGAGAAGCTCTTGCACTGCAGCTTTTCACGGAGTTCCACACGTTTGGAGATATCGCCAAAAGCTCCCTGTTATAACAGAGAGGCAAAACTTTTTTTTAAACTGTCAAAGTACACTTCTGGCATATTTGATGCTACCTTGGCTTTGCTGCAATGCAACAATGCCCCCGACTGGCTTCTTATATTGTATTTAGCTTCTATTCCTGCTGTTAGATATCTGACAAAAACATTCCTCAGTATCACAAAGCAGTATATTCAGTGAACATCTGACCTGATGCTAAAACCTAAGCCTTGTGTGAATCTCTGTCTGAAACTTCACACCAGCTAATAGTATAGATACTGCATTTTCACACTACATACTTTTATAAAATTACATTATGGAAAAGACACATTACTTCTTTATACAAAAACATAGTAATATTACTCTGTTTAAAATAAATCAAAATATTGCTGATTGTTATCATACTTGTTTTTCTTAAGTCAGCAGGTATATTTTGGTAGTATAATTACTCATTTGTTAATTAACTACAGACAAGTATTTGATCACTGCACTTTTTAAACTGGGAGTGGCGAGTGGAGAGTAATGACTCATTTCAAAGGATTTGCAGGCACCTAACTCACCTAAATAATGAGGGCTTTACTATAATGACAAGGATGCTTCTCACACTAGTGCTTACTGATAGCAACTACAGTGGATTCTGTGATGCTGTTGACAAAGCCGTGTCTGTCTGAAGCCAGTGGGTGAGGGCTGGCCTGCTCTGTGAGGTGTCGCCCGGAGGGAAATGTTTATATGACCTGTGGGACCACATGTTGGGAAACCCTGAGAGACAGTGTCATTTACCAGAGATGACTCCTTCTAGGCCTCTTTTTCCTCTGTTGTTTTTTACCCCCCAAAACGTGCCCCACATCCCCCATAGTACCCACACACCCACAGCTTTTATGGAATATTTCAATTTACTCTGCAGTGGTTGCCCTGGTAAGAGAGGTATGCTTTTCTCTGCAGAGTATCTGAAGTTATTGATAAGCAGACATAATGCCTCTTCTATGCAAAACATTGGACAAGAGCTTTATGTGTTTTTGGGACAGTAATGAGCGGCCTTAAAACACTTAGATACAAGCAGATGGAAAAATTTCTGCTGTAGACCAATTTGCAAGTTGCTGCCATTTTTTAAAAAACAAACAAACAAGAAAATTCAAAGAATCACATAACAGAGTAAAATAGAATAGGACTTCAAATGCAAAATAAATAAATAAATAAATATCAAATTCTGGAGGAAAATGAGAGCCTTTCGCCAGGAGCAGAAACATCTGGATGAGCATGTTGATGCCATTCATGGAGATCCTAAAGACTGTTCCAGATCATGATTTTAAAATGTATTCAACTCTAAATACCAGTTGTCTGTTTTAAGGTTTGGGTGTCTACTAAACTAAAAGTAAAGTAATTCTAACATCTGGGGGGGGGAAAGAAGCTATACGTACATCTTTTGCGATCTGCGCAGCTTGCTGGTTACGTCGGTAAAAGATCTCTTTGTAGTCATCCATCCAGACTTCAGCCAGTCTCACCTGATTGCGAGCAATCACTTGTGTGCCCTTAGGAAAGGTGTGTGGACTTTTGGTGCGGAAAACATGACCAACAATGGAACAAGGAATTATCTCCAACTGTCCTCCACACTGCCATACCTTCAAATTAATGATTGACAAAACAGACGCACACGCCCATGCAGCAGTTTGAATAACTGAATGGCTCCAAGGGTAAAAGATATTTGCACAAATAATGACAGCTTGGTAATACCTTACCCTAAAGGACATTTCGATATTCTCCCCACCCCAGATTTCCATTTCTTCATCATAGCTTCCGATACGGTAGAAATATTCTTTGGAGATGGAGAAGAGCCCACCAGCAAACGTGGGAGTCCTGTGGATGCATTTTGTTAAATGTTTAGAAGCTTCAAAAGAAGATTGGGTTTCAGATGAAGTCGATATCCAGTATACATGCACAACTTTGACTCACTTGATTGGATACGTTTCATCCTTCCTCCTTCGCTTCTCATGATCTGGTAGGCTCTCCCAACCAAATGAAAGACTCCAATCAAAGTTCCCCCGATTGTGATTCTGGCCATAAGGGGACGGTTTCATGAACTCAAAAGTATTGAGATCAATAGTAGTAATATCAGGACTCACTACTGCAGTGTAGTTTTCCGCTATCCTAGCCAGCAGAGGTTCCAGCCATCCATTAAAGCATTCACCTGTTAATACACCCACATAGGGAAATGCATCACTTACTACTTTCTCTGCAAAAAGCACTAAACTACTTTGTTTAGAACACAAATCCACATGAGAAATGGCTTTATAAAAGGAGTAAGCAGTGTTTACAAATTGTGCGGGTGTGTGTTTAAGGGCGTGCAAACCAGTTTTTAAATGTGTGAGTAGTGTCAGTGGTGGTGACTAACAATGAGCATCCAGAAAGGTGAGTGTGTCACCGGTCGCCACGGAGGCACCCAGGAGCCGAGCAGTTATAAGTCCTTTTCTCTCTCGCTGGCGCATGACTCGTACAATGTTCAGCTGCTTCAAATAATCATCCAGCTTGTCCTTTAACTCATCTGAAAGCGTGGGATATCAATTAGACGTTAGAGTTGGAGATACAGAGATGCTTAATTTGATGAATACAAGATAAAAAGCAACACAAAATACTCCAAAATAAATCAAATAACAATAATTGCTTAACTGCTTACTAGTTAATCTCACAGACCCTAGCCCGAAAAAGAAGACTTAAACAGATTAAGAACAAATTTATGTTCCTTCCATGTTTAACTGGGCTGGCTTTCAAGAAATCTGCTGCACTGCAGGACTCAATCTGCCTGCTCACAGCAAATAGCTGAGCTTAGGTGTCAGCTGAACTTCATTCTTTGAAACCTCTGTCCTTTCCAGGATTACGTTTCCTTCCTACATCTGACCCATTTATAATGGTTAACTCTGACTCATCTCTAAGCTCAACCACTGCTAATTCCTCTTAGGAAAGTATTCACCGCGGGGCCCCTTGCTTCCTGTTGTTAACCCACATCAGGTGCCACAAAAGAAGAAGCAGGGAGCTCCCCTCTGCATGTTTCATGGCACACAGTGAGTTGCCCACCCAACACGCTGCATGAAATTGAACCCAAAAGTGAGCAGGACAGTCATGAAGGAGCCCATTGAGGTTTTACCATCTACGCTGGCGTCATCCACCAGGATGATCTCTTTGAGGAGAATGGCGGGGGAGGTGTGAAGGACACTGTATACCGTCCTTAGCAGAGTGCTCCAGGCCTCATTGTGAAACACAATTATCACACTGGTGGTCGGCAAGGGGGGGCATCGCTTGAAGGTTTGCTCAATGCATCTGTACAAGGAGGGAAAAGAGCACAAAGATCTGACTATCCTGTACAGTTCCTGAGTGGCACAGTATAGTTATTACATCTCCAAGCTCTCCCCTGTGGGGAGTCCATTTCAGCTGTGACACTGCATGTGTGGCAGCCTTTGAAATACCTGCCATATTAGAGTAGGACAAACTTTGTAATTCAGCCTAGGGAGATTGCCAGAACATGGACCGGCTTTATGCGTCTGCCTTGTATCGACTAAACTGACATGAGAAGCCCATGTGGATTTCCATGTGTTTGGATGTACTGCAACAAGCCAAGCAAAACGTTGCTTCTTCCTGAAATTTTAACCACAATAATTGGCCAGGCATGCTGAAACAAAGTCTCTCTCACAGTAATCATCTCTGTGGTTTCTGCCTGACATTTTCCCCAGTTACAAAAAACAGAAATTGAGAAAAATTTGTTGGGGTTAGATGGTCGCTGTTGCATTAAGAAAACTACTTTTAAAATAATTTATATGGGTATTTTTCAGAGTGCAACTATATTTTAGACAGAAAGAGTAGCATCAATACTGAATTCATATCCACAGGATAGTATAAATACTTGATTTTTTTAAAAATAAAGTCAACGTTTGATCTAATATGTCCCTTAATAACACTATCTTTTAAAATTGTTATTTTACATAGGTTCATCAGAAGCCTGGAGAGTCAGTGTACACATACTCTGGTGGTCTTGTGTCTGCACCCAGGTCTCTGCTCAGAGAGATGTGGTCACTTGCATACAAGTTAAAGCAGTGTTTCTCTTCACCCCTCTCCTTCTCCTTTTGCTCATTGGGGCTCAGCGAGTCAGTGTTGAAAGGTTTCCCAGCAGCTCCGGGGGCAAGAGGGTTCTGGGGTGGCCGCTCCAGAGCTGGCCTGAGCTCAGCAGCAGTGTAGTGACCTGGCAGACAAGACGTGCCGTCTGCTTTCTCCTGATGACGTACAGGGGCTCTGATCTGCATCTTTGGCATTGCATCCCTGAAGTTATTGACAGCTCCCATCACCATTCCCAGCATGGCATCCCGCTTCACTGCCATTTCCTTCAGCCACGGGTCCTCCTGTTGGCTTTGGCTTCCGACTTCCCATTGTATGAAGAACACAAATGTGACAAAGACAAGAGCCACTATGAGAAGTTTCAGTGGGTGCAGGCGCCTTCGGAGTACTCTGCGAAGAACTGGCATTCTTTTTGAATGTAGAGCAGGCTGGCTTTGGATTGAGATTCAGCTGTAACAAACAATAATATTCATAATCCGAACACTGATGAGTAAACAGTATTTATGTGGCTTCAGGATTTATGACATAAAGGGTTGAAGAAAAAAAACAACACACAGACACAGACACAGACACACACACACACACACACACAGAGAGAGAGAGAGAGAGAACATAATGAAATGTTCTCTGTGTGTGTGTGCTGCCTGCATACTTTAGGTATATTTTACCTTTTGGTAATAAAAAGGTAGGCGTGAAGCTTCCTGTGCTCCATTGAAAAATCACATATTTAAAACCGGCTGGTGAAATCAGCAAACAACCTCGGGTCTGGATTCCCTCAGCAAAAAAATACAGCGCACCATGAATCGCTGACCAACAAGTTAAGGCTAACAACGTCCTTTAAACTGCTCTCTGAAAATTAAACAAACGCCATCTCGCTTTAGCTGGAAACCATCGCTTTCACGTCAAACAAAACTTTTCTTCCTGGAGAAGCCCAAAAAAAAAAAAAAGTCAAAAGATTTGCTCAAAGATTGCCAGTGAACTTCCGTCTCGTTGGATCCAGGTGTACTCCTCTCAGGTAAAAGGCTATGACGTACATGTGCGCTTGCGCAGAGAAAACTTCTGCGTATCAAAATAGTGCATCAGGACACAATCCACACCTGAAATAAAAACCAAAAAAAAGGCCATTACGACAGAAGAAAACTCGCTAAAACCTTTTGAGATAAATAATTAAATAAATCAAAGATTTGACAATCACTGCTGAATGGAACATTTGGGCTATCGCGACAAACTATTGTATAAATACGCTAAAGTGGTCTGGAGCTCCTCGAGAAATGTTTGAGACTCCTCTGCGCGGAGCTGCTTAAAGGTGTCATTAATAGGATTTGTTCTAGTGGTCATTCACTGGGACAGTTGCTGGGTTACAAATAACGGAGGAACGCGATATATCCCACCGCATCCAATCAAGTCTCTGAGAAACGCCGCATATTGGCCATAGAGCTTAAACTTATGAACTCAAGAGGAACGGACAACGCACATGGTACACAAAAATCTGGAAAAGTTACGCATCCCTCCCAGCGAAGACGCGAATAATTATTAAAAGCTTTCCGTATTCCGAATAAAAGTTGTTGGCTAAAAAGCTTAGAAACTCACCACCGCACACTGCAGCTTGTCTAATCCTTGAAATGTTCCACGTTTCCCACAACGGATTGTGTTCATAAAGAGTTGGATGCTTGCAGGAGTAAAGACGTGGATTCCGCCTGCAGGGAGCTTGCTCTGGTGCCCAGTTTGAAGTCTTTCTGCTTTTTGACTCGCACAGTGACTCCATCTGTAGTGACTGTGTTCTCCGCAGCTCGCTACCCACGGCAGGCAGCCAGTTTATTATGTCCATTAAAATGCTTACCGTGTGTCCTATTCTAGTCACGCTTGTAACTGTTTTTCTGTGTCAGCACCGGTGATGTAAACCGTCTAGTCATATTGTGTTTTCATTCTATTAGGCAGGTATCCATGCTTTCTGAACAATAAATCAAAGTTTGAAGGGGGATAAAAGCCAGGCCACAGCAACACCATATCTGAAATAACTTTATTTGGAGAAAAAGACAAAGACAGTTGTCTACATTTCTGTTTTACGCTTGAGAAAATAAGTCAGTAAATCACTATTGTTATCCAGTTATCATAGATTGTAACAGATGCAGAAGCACATTTACATCTTAATAAACTTCAAAGATACTTCCATACAGACTTCGTAAAGACTATAAACTGCAGGAGTTTTCTTTTTCTGTCTATGGGGGAAAAAAATCCCTTAAGTTGTGCTTGAATATCTTTACACTTTTTCCCACCCTCTCTTTTGATGGTCAGCTACCAACTATTTACATGGTCAGAAAACTTGACAGAAAATTCAAAACAATACATGTGGATTCAATCAAATAGTTACAGAAAATATTTCTCTATCACAAAAAATACAGGTCCAACACTAAGATCTCAGGGAGGCCCGAGCTTTGTCCAGGATGTCCTTTCTTATTCTTGGATAATTTGGATGAGCAGCCAGAACCTGTGAACAAAAATTAACAAGATTAACAGGACAGAAACATGTTGAAGATATAAACTATTAACATCCAAACATGTCTCACCTTATGACAGACGTCTATGGCATCGACATATCGCTTCGCTTTCAAGTAGTTAAAAGCAAGCTTGTACCCTGAAATAAAAATGGACATACATGTTAGAAATGTGAGCCTTTGAATCTTTGTCCTTAGTAACAGAGCTAGACGTGCGACTTTGACATACCAATAGTTGGGTTGGTTTGATTTCCATGTTTCCAAGCCATTTCATAGTTCAATGCAGCATCGCGGAATGACTGCTCTTTTTCCATTATATAGCCCCTATATTCATATGCTTTACTGCATGACTGGGGAAGAAATTTACTTTACTTAAATTTACTTAAGTCAGTTTCTGCATAACAAAGAAACAAATTTTGAAAAAAAGCACACAGAAAAACAGATATATATGTTAACTGCACTGTCCTCATTTCATATTTCAATAGTGACGACATTTTCAGGCTCACCTTGTTATGGGAGATGCATTTGTTTAGGAGTTCCAGGGCCATCTCGTACTTCCCTGAATGGATGTAGATGTCTGCCAGGAGTAGCCAGCTTTTCTCAAACTCATCTGCATCAGCAATGCTCCAACTCATCTTAGCTACACGTTTGAGCTGGTTCCTGGCACGAGGAGTTTGCTTTAGCATCATGTAAGCTGTTGCCATTGCCAACAAGGCTGGCACATGATCTTTCTGAATGGAAACCAGGAATATCGGTGAGACGAGATGAATCTGACAACACTGCACCACTATGCCACTTCTAATTGTTTGCACTCAAATTGTCAATGGCTTCATTTATAGTTCCATACAACAGATGACATGTATGGATGACAATCCATTAACATTAAGCAAATATTAAATGAATACTTAGTTGGATACAGTGTAATGTACAGTGTATGTGCACAAAAGAGCCTGGAGAAAGAGAAGGAAGAAAAGCATCTACTTTGGCTATAACGTCTACGAGAGAGTCATGCTGGACCTAGAACTTACTTACCTCATTGTTGGCAATATCTGTGAAAACACTGAGGGCTTTCTCTATATTGGCCTTCTGTTTAGTCGCCATAAGGCAGTAGTTCTCCAGGATGCGGAGCTGTACGTGTCCACTCTGAGTCTGAGGCTTTAACTCCTTCAGCAGCTTCTCAGCTGTCCTCACAGCAAGCTGCTCTGACTCCTGCTTCTCTGTAGAGTTCCTGGAGAGCGACACCAAGCAAATGCAAATCTGTTATAACAGAAGCTTACACTGCATAGTCTAGTATTTCTTCCCTTATGTATTACATTTTCTTAATTAAGACCACTTACCCAATTTCACCATCTAATGTCTCAAATAGCTCTCCTCCAACCGTGTCATTGTCAGGGTTTAGGTAGATTTCAATCATGTTATATACAGCATTTTGGCCCCAATCATTGTCTTTTCGTGCCTTATTAAAGTGTCGCAGAGCATCATTAGGTTGTCCTGTGTACCTGACCAAAAAGCACAAGTTTAGTCATTGAGTTTGACACAAATGTTCCTGTAATCTCTGGAAAACACTGTTGTAACTTACCAAAGATGAAGTCCTCTGCAGTAGTTAAACCCAGGGTCAAATCGAGACCTTGAAGAATGTTTTTCTGCCATATCAAGAAATCTGGAGGCGTCTTCCAGCTTCCCAGCCCTTCTCATCAATTCAATAAGACGTGACAGAATGTGGTAGTTGTCTGAAAACAACACATGCAAGATATTATGGCTTCCATTTAGACAATGCCAAATCACATTTGATTTAAAAAAAAAAAGAACAGAAAGATGGCCCTGTTATACCTGGTGTGCGTTCAAGCAGTTGCTGAAAATGGAAAACTGCTTTCTCCTTGTTCTCCTTCCTAAGCATAATGTCTGCCAACATCTAAGGACAAACATATTTAAGACACAGGTTGTTATTTATGGTTCAGAAAAAGGTTATGGTCAAAACTGTAGTGGCAAACGATCAGAACAAACCAGAGTCGCATCTTCATTAAATTGGTCATTCTTCAAAATGACGCTGCACTGCTCCTGGCATGCATCAGTCTCACCTAAAGTAAGGTACAAGCATGCCAACTCCAGCATCACCTAAGAACAGGGGAAACATTCTAATAATGAAGTTGATGTACCAACCTTACTGGTACAGTAATGACTATATACTGTAATGAGTCATTTCGCCTAGATAAACCTACCAACAACTAAGATCACAATTTAAAATTTTAAAACACTTGGGCAAGACTCAAAAGGACACCAGTGCTTGTTACCCACAGCTGCAGTAAGTACACAGAACGTTTTTGATTCAGCTGCACTGACCTTGCGATCTGTCTCACAATACACAAGAGCCTCTTTGTAGAATTTGACTGCTCTCTCATAGCCCCTCTGACTTGTGTAGTGTTTGGCGATCTCAGCACAGATCTCAGCAGCAAGTTGCTTCTGCATGGGGACAGCATCAGGCTGCTCCAACTGCATGCGTTTCAGCACTTTGGCCTGTACATCCCGAGCCTATGAACAGAACATCATCATTATGGAAATAACATCAATCAGCATCATCATTATTATTCGAAAAAAAAAAGAGACAAGTCTTACAATGGTTAAGATGTTTTTGTGTGTAAAGAGGACCAAGAGAAAGCCAAATGCCTGGGCCTACTTACTCTTTGTAGTGAAAGTATAGACTCCTCTGTTTTCTCAACTTTGTTTTGGACTTTGGCTAACAGGACCAGATAACGGCAGTCGTCTGAGAGCACAGGTAGTTGATTCACTGTGTGTAAAAAATGCATAATGAAAATGGCAACAATTAGTAAAAGCATTTTCAAAAAACCAACAGAGAAATGTTTTGATTTGTTCTATAAAATCTAAGCAGTGTGGAATTTCCACAATCAACACTACCTGTATCGTCATGGCTATGGACAAAATATAATCATGACTAGGCTCTCTTGTTTATTTCACTGTTAACGTCAAGACTTCACTGTATATAAAATAGTGTGACGTCTTAAGCACCTTGTTCATGGGCCAGAGCATCATGCAGGACCCTTTCACAGCGCTCATATTGCTTCATTTTCATCAGCAGCTCTGCCAGGTCATAACGCAGGAAGTTCTGTTGCTCAGTCTTCAGGGCCTCTTCATAGTAATTTATTGCCTGTGTAAAAGCAGACTAGAGTCAACAAAAGACTGTCTCCACTTGACTTGTATTTTATCTTTTAAATAAGTTTATGACACAAACCTTGATGTAGTGATGAGTCTTCACCAGAGCCTTTCCTATCTTGCTGGCTAAAGCACCATCTTTAGGGTTCTTCTTCAGCGCTTGCTCGTAAGCCTCAATTGCTTTCTGCGGCTGAGGATAAACACACATGCAGATAAGCAGTGTTGCTTTAAGTTTTTGTAAATATTAGAAACGGCTATAAACACGTGGTAAACACTTTAGAAGCTGTTGCATGAGTAAGAGCTGTTAAAGGAAACTGAATCAAGAAACAATTTCTGATAGCCAGGTTGGGAAT